TAAACTACTTGTAGTATGGACCGGAATAAAAATCACCTACCTCTCTTCCCATAAATAATCCTCCATCACTGTAACCGAAAAACGCGATACTGTAACGTTCCCACGGTGATTAAAAGATACATAAAATAGTCTTCCGAGAAAAAATACCTATATGGTGGTCAGGGCTATTGATTAGTACAATGGCAATGTCACGCAATACAAACACAAAATATCGTTGGTGTTATCCGTTACTTAGGAACCGCGCTTATTATAAAATTTTAGATAATTTTGAGATTGTCCCCTTATATAAACTGTCCTCGTTCCTCATTATAAGCCGCAAACGTCTAGAAGGGATACGCTAGTACGATGATTTTTCCGTAGCAAATTTTTGTGCATCAAGAATCGCTACGGATATACGAGGACTACTAGGATTGAATACGGTTACATTACCACCGAGTCCAATCGTTCACTATGTTTCCCAGGCGGAGAACTCATGAAGAGATCAATTTTACAGGTGGAAAACTGATACTGTGGTAAGAAAATTGTCTTCAATTTCTTTAAAAATGCATATTTCACAAAACTTTATAGCCTATTCTGATCTCGTATGATTACTTTATCCGACAGGCATCTCAAACTCGCCAAATCTTTGTTAACTTATTAGATCATTATCGACAACTGCACAAGAAAAGTCACAAAATTGGTAAAATCGCTCTTTGATAGCCAATAACTTGACATCCAAGCAAACTTCTAAACATTTGTATCGCTCTAAAGGTTCTTTATTAACATATCCTCATCCACCAAAAGCCTGTTCTATTTCTATTCCGTATTTTTGGAGTATAATATCGTTTAAGCGATTTTTCAAAATGAACGCATGAGCCGAACTTTTCATGTGGTTTCATAGTTTTGCAAAGTGAACGCATGAGCAGGTGGTATTTTTAAAACTCCAGTTTTTCCTAATTATCTAACAAATTTAACATATTCAAACTTTAAAAATTTCAAATTTTATTCCAAATAAATGAGAGACACTTCCTTTTACAAATTAAAATATACTTTGTACGCTGTATATATTTCCATGCTTATGATTTGGTAAGAAATAATAATTGCACTGTGCAAATTGTCTTGTACATAATATATACGGAATTGCTGTTGTACTTGTTAAACAGATAAAAAAATTGCGTAGAAGAGAGTTGATCCATTTCACCTAAGAACACAAAAATTATCACTTCTAGAATGAAGTGTATTTTTTTATCAATATTACAGAATATGGAAGAATACGACGCCATAATACCCGTGGAAGAACCACCAGTGCCAGCCATGGCCAAAACTAAAATCTGTGAATAAAAATAACACATATTATCAGCTTTAATGAACAATCTCTTATTGAATAACTTAAACAAATGAATATTATTTAATACATAAAACGGAGAGATAACTAAGTCTTGTCATGTTGAATAAAATCAACAACTGACGACATTAAACTGATTTATATAATAATCTTACATGACACTTTGGAAAAATCCTTGATTTTTGCACGCATTGTAAATGATTGTTTTACAAAATATGTACTTTGATAATTAAATCATGAATCCTGAATAATTGTACACAATTATTATCATACATGCATAATATTAAACAACAAATACAACAAAGGACAAATGACAAATAATAGCGTATGTATACTCTTTTAAAGTCCCTGTACCTCAAAACTTTAATAGTCTAATAACTCAAATAAAGAATTACAAATATTACAAATCTTACATAGATATTATCGAATTTAACAAGTTCTGTAAATAAAGGGAGGTAATTAGAAACACATTTTGATAAATACTTTGCCTATTCTGTATTAAAATAAAAAGTGTATGATTTCTAAAGGAAAAACTTATAATGAACCTAAAAAATATGTGTTATTTCAACATTTTCTTGTATGTTCATTTTGTTGTAAGGAAGGTGATATATATATTCTTGCTTAAAGATCCTGTATGTTATAATTAAGGATGTAACATCCTTGCCAAAGTTGTATATAAAGTCAGTTCTTATGAAAAACATATACTTAAGAAGTTGACATTATTAAACACATTATATGATATTTCTTGAGGAAAAAAGGTTGTGAAATTTTTATTTAAATGCAAAACTGATTTTTTTTACCAAAAACAGATTTCTAATTATCTACTTTTATTATCGGATTTTTTTAATTTTGGCAATATCCTTATCAAAAAGGTTTTCTGTAACTTTAAACATTGTTAATTCTTTATTTAAGCCAAAGATTTTTCATATAAGAACATAAAATTTTGAGTCACAGGATCTTTAAGTGTATGTTACATCTTTAATTATAACATACAGGAAATTTAAGTCCCATCAACCAATGATGTTGTATTTTGCAAATATTTTACTCAAAGTTTTAGCAATGAGGATTTATTATATTTTCACAGAACCGAACAGACCTTCATCTATTGCTTATAAGCAATTCGTCATAAGGTATGAAAAAAGGGACTTCTGTTTGCTCAAACATTGGGAACGAAATTTTTGGAATTTAAAGGTTCAGTGATCTATAACATGTGAGATATCCATGAAAACTGGAGTAACCAAAAAGTCCGCCTGCTCATGCGTTCATTTTGCAATCTGATGAAACCACATGAAAAGTTCGGCTCATGCGTTCATTTTGAAAATTCGCTTAAACGATATTATACTCCAACAAGAGCTGTCGGTAGGACAGCAACGCTCGACTATTCTTAGTGCTTGATAGTAAAAAAATGCTTGATAGAGTTACCTCCTCCTGTTTACAGGTTGGGGTCATGATGGTGAACAAGTGTGCAAAGTTTCAAAGCCATATGTCAATGGACTTTGAAAATATTTGAACTATTACAAAAACTTTAACGGAAATTCTAAGTCGAAAAAGGGGCATAATTCTGTCAAAATGCTTGATAGAGTTACCTCCTCCTGTTTCCAGGTTGGGGTCATGATGGTGAACAAGTGTGTTAAGTTTCAAAGCCATATGTCAATGGACTTTGAAAATATTTGAACTATTACAAAAACTTTAACGTAAATTCTAAGTCGAAAAAGGGGCATAATTCTGTCAAAATGCTTGATACAGTTACCTCCTCCTGTTTACAGGTTGGGGTCATGATGTTGAACAAGTGTGCAAAGTTTCAAAGCCATATGTCAATGGACTTTGAAAATATTTGAACTATTACAAAAACTTTAACGTAAATTCTAAGTCGAAAAAGGGGCATAATTCTGTCAAAATGCTTGATAGAGTTATCTCCCTCCTGTCTACAGGTTGGGGTCATGATGGTGAACAAGTGTGCAAAGTTTCAGAGCCATATGTCAATGGACTTTGAAAATATTTGAACTATTACAAAAACTTTAACGTAAATTCTAAGTCGAAAAAGGGGCATAATTCTGTCAAAATGCTTGATACAGTTACCTCCTCCTGTCTACAGGTTGGGGTCATGATGGTGAACAAGTGTGCAAAGTTTCAAAGCCATATGTCTATGGACTTTGAAAATATTTGAACTATTACAAAAACTTTAACATAAGTGGTTACGCCGACGCCGACGCCGACGCTCGGGTGACTGCAATAGCTTTACTTATTCTTATCGAATAGTCGAGCTAAAAATACGGAATAGAAATAGAACAGGCTTTTGGTGGATGAGGATATGTTAATAAAGAACCTTTAGAGCCATACAAATGTTTAGAAGTTTGCTTGGATGTCAAGTTATTGGCTATCAAAGAGCGATTTTACCAATTTTGTGACTTTTCTTGTGCAGTTGTCGATAATGATCTAATAAGTTAACAAAGATTTGGCGAGTTTGAGATGCCTGTCGGATAAAGTTATCATACGAGATCAGAATAGGCTATAAAGTTTTTGTTAAATATGCATTTTCAAAGAAATTGAAGACAATTTTCTTACCACAGTATCAGTTTTCCACCTGTAAAATTGATCTTTTCATGCGTTTTCAGCCTGGGAAACATAGTGAACGATTGGACTCGGTGATTACGGAGCTGAGAGCTACATGTAGTAGCTACGGAAGATGCATTAATCCGTGGGGCTTCTTTCGAGTGTGTCCGAGTATTACGTGAAAATGTGAATCGCTGTGCGAAGCAATTATTCTACTATTTCATACCACTCATCTATATTGTTTGTTTTCTATTCCCGACGAGAACAATTAATTTGTTTATTATATATCGCATAAGATAGCATTATTGTTGACACAATCTAGTACAAAGCTGTAATATTAACTACTCTTTAACTATAGTATAAATATTCAATCTCACATTGCATCGGTACAGACACTAAATATTATAATGATTTTAAATTATAATTTTACATATTCATGTAGTATCACGCCGAAAACGATAGAATCCAAAAATATAACTCACAGTTGTTTGGGAAATAAAAATGGTAGGCATTTTTGAGGCATAATGGGCCTTTAATACTCTCTCTCTCTATTGGCTGAATATTTAGAAGAAAGTAGTCCGGCAAAACAAACACGTAAAAACTCAACGAGAGAGATGTATTCACGGGCAAAGTTGAAAAATAATCTTGTATGTATTTGACGCAAGTAGAAAAAATATCACGACAAAGGAAAAATGCCGCATTTATCTATGATTATCAATTAAAATTAAATTCATTAAAAATAATAAAATACAAATATATTCGGGTAAAGTCAGTTATTATCTTAAGATTAGAATATACATGTAACTTAAAACAGTTTACGGAGAATAGTGAGTTAAATTCATAAAGAAAATGGACGTACTCACCTGTTAAATCACTGAACTTTGTGTGGTGTGCGAGTGATATATTTCGAGAGGAATAACGACAGTGGTTAAAATGATGTGTAGTTATTTCACATGTGAAGGAAAGGGGTTCGAACACACCCTGAGATTTAAAAGTTAAACACATATTTATTACGTTTATAAAGAAAGTATTATATTACTGAGAGTATGATATAACATGTACATGATGCGATGAATAAAATGAGGCAAAGGAAAAACGGAGAGTTCAAGTAACGATAAAATACAACCATCCGACACCAAACAGGAAGGGTACTTAACAACAAAAAGTTTTTCTTTTTAATTGTAAAAGTTATGGTTTAATATCGTTTGAAAGTGTTTCACATATGTAAACATTCAATAAAATGACACGGCACCGTTTGATCCTATGGGTCAGCATAACGTAACCGACACTTGTACTGTCGCTCTTTCTCCCATCCTTCCATCTCACCTCTTTCATTTATGATACAAATAGTAGTGCATGTATATTATTAGTAAGCAGAGAAAAATAAAATAAAATCAGTAACGGACCAGCCATTTCTTACATAATTTGCTAAAAAACAAGTTTCAAACAACGTCTTGTTTTACTAAGCATATTCAATGATATAACTTCCTTTAGCATAGATTCAATATTAATTATGACTTACTAAAGCATAGCTAATATTATGACTTACTAAAGCATATCCAATATTATGACTTACTAAAGCATATCCAATATTTTGAATAATTTAAGTATAATCCTTAACATGGCTTACTGAAGCATATTTAATAATATGACTTACTTCCGCATATCAAATAATATGACTTACTTCCGCATATCAAATAATATGACTTACTTCCGCATATTAAATAATATGACTTATTTAAGCACATCAAAAAATATGACTTACTTAAGCAAACTTTACCTCTTGTATAGAAATATTTGACCTTTGACTTGTTTAAAGAATATCACTCATCAAAATTCATTTTAATTAGGCCAATTTCGAATTTCAAGTGTCAAAATAGTTCTTTGCAAAATAATGTCAAGTTGACAACAACGATTTGTATTCTGGTCACATTGAAGGTGAACTGATATCTATTACGTGTAAAACTACTATCCACTAGACTGTCGATAAATGCCGTATTTTTCTTATGAACATCGTTTATTGAAATGCAGTTATTAAAGTATTGTACAAGTTGATGCTTTGGCCGCCTTCTGCATTCTTTGGCGGACATTACGTCTGTGGTTTTCTATGACGTCCATTACTTCCTGACACTCCTCTTCCTCCGCTACATCGTACGCTGTCTTGTCATGCTGAAATACACAAAATATAAATTTGGTGGCTGAAATACACAAAATATAAATATGGTGGCTGAAATACACAAAATATAAATGTGGTGGCTGAAATACACAAATTATAAATGTGGTGGCTGAAATACACAAAATATAAATGTGGTGGCTGAAATACACAAAATATAAATATGGTGGCTGAAATACACAAAATATAAATATGGTGGCTGAAATACACAAAATATAAATGTGGTGGCTGAAATACACAAAATATAAATGTGGTGGCTGAAATACACAAAATATAAATGTGGTGGCTGAAATACACAAAATACAAATGTGGTGGCTGAAATACACAAAATATAAATATGGTGGCTGAAATACACAAAATATAAATATGGTGGCTGAAATACACAAAATATAAATGTGGTGGCTGAAATACACAAACTATAAATATGGTGGCTGGAATACACAAAGATATAAATGTGGTGGCTGAAATACACAAAATATAAATATGGTGGCTGAAATACACAAAATGTAAATGTGGTGGCTGAAATACATGAAATGTAAATATTGTGGCTGAAATACACAAAATATAAATATGGTGGCTGAAATACATGAAATATAAATGTGGGGGCTGAAATACACAAAATATAAATGTGGTGGCTGAAAATACATGAAATATAAATATAGTGGCTGAAATACATGAAATGTAAAATATTGTGGCTGAAATACACAAAATATAAATATGGTGGCTGAAATACATGAAATATAAATGTGGTGGCTGAAATACATGAAATATAAATGTGGTGGCTGAAATACATGAAATATAAATATAGTGGCTGAAATACATGAAATGTAAATATAGTGGCTGAAATACACAAAATGTAAATGTGGTGGCTGAAATACATGAAATATAAATGTGGTGGCTGAAATACATGAATTGTAAATATTGTGGCTGAAATACATGACATGTGAATATGGTGGCTGAAATACATGAAATATAAATATGGTGGCTGAAATACATGAAATGTGAATATGGTGGCTGAAATACATGAAATATAAATATGGTTGCTGAAATACTAGTACATGAAATGTAAATATGTTGGCTGAATTACATGAAATGTAAATATAGTGGCTAAAATTCATGAAATGTAAATATGGTGGCTGAAATACATGAAATGTAAATATAGTGGCTGAAATTCATGAAATGTAAATATGGTGGCTGAAATACATGAAAAGTTGTTTTGAAGTCAGTAAAGCGAGTTTTAGTCGAATGAACAACATAATCAGACATTGAATTAAAGCCATGATTCCTACATGATTTGAATATATTTTTTTAACTTAACCAAGTTGGAACCAAAAAGTTTTCGGGCCTTTCCGTCAAAAACTTCGGGTAAGGACGTGATTGTGTGTACACGGTGAGGTATTCCGAATAGTTTATTTACTGCTCCCTAGTGTCACGATTTTTACTGAGTCAAATTGTAGAGATTGAAAAGTAAAATCATTATTTTTTAATACAAGCCACATCCATGTGAAAATTCATTCGTGAGTTCGTAGTTCTACCGTATCATTATGTAATTATGCAATTACTAACCTTATTTTTAGCATTATAATCACATTTATGTGTATCTAGCAGGACCTGGGCCTCTTCGTGTTGGTTTTTTGTTGCTGTTACATGCAAAGCTGTGCTCTCGCTCTGAATAAATAGACCAAATAGGTTCGTATAATAACATTCAGGAATAATAATTATATGAAAGCACTTTATATCATTGTTCTTTATGACAAATTTATAAGCTAATAACAATCGTATTTATTTATTTATTTAAGTCTCAATAACATATATGTATATATCAATCAATATTAAATACAGGATAAAACAAATGGCATTCATAAATGAAACCAATCAAATATTTGATTTACTAGAGACTATTAAAATACTATACATTTTCACATTACAACTTAAAAACTATCACATATTTTAATGACTACTCACTTTATTTTCATATACAGAAAAAGAATTGAAATTTCATCTGAGTTTGTTCTTAATCATAACTTTGGCAAGTCAAAGATCTTGGCAAGTATGTCATATTTGAGCAAAGTTAAAATTCAAACTAATCTGCCTATCCCATAGAAAACGGCTAAAAAATTTAATCATAAACAAAATAGTTCAGAGATTACAATTTGTATTGTGCTAAACTGTATAAAGACCCGAATATTAATGTTCTATAACAACAGTGGTTGTGTAAAAATTATGACTTGGCATTGTATAACTAAAAACAAGCTCTCCTTATTTTACGGTTCTAAACTATATTAATTTCTTTACCATATATATATACACATATTCTAAATGCTATGACCTAGAAAACTCTTCTTAATGATAATCTATCGTTTTTGTTTTTCTTTTTTATAAATTAAAACTTAGAATATCGTTAAAAAACTGAATTCAATATAGTTTTTAATGCTCGACATTACATAATGGTAGCACATGTCTGATCTAATAAGACATATAGATTATTAACAAGGTTTTCTAGAGCAAGATAAAATGTTATCATAAATAAAATACCATATGAACTTTATGGTTGTCCAATGAAAGTCGACGTTTTAAAAATGTTTAGTATTCTAAAGTGATATTTTGTCCATCCAAGAGAAAATGGTGGGTGTTCAGTATATTTTAGGCAGTTTTTATATAATATCCAAAACATTTGTTGGTTACATTTTTTTTCAATCGCCATTAAATAAGTTAGAAATAATCAACTAATTTATCTCAGATTGACAGTGAAAAAGGTAAACATACTGTCACTTAAAAATCAAATATACATACGTTTACTGTTTTCTGATTAATGTCAGCCCCGGCTTCTATAAGACTTCTCAACATTCCGAGTCGTTCTTCCTCGTCTTCCATTTCACCACGGATAAGAACGTGGTGAATGGGATATAGCCCGTCCTATAAATTTCATGGAAAAATCCGAAAAAATGAACATAGACAGACAGAGGCGATTACTTTTTGTATTAATAAAATTTATGAGTTTTTTTATTGTGCCGAGGCATTCAGTTGTTTCGAGATGATTTCAGTTCAATTATGAGAAAGAACAAAATAATGAAATATAAAAAGGGATCCTATCTACGGAAGCGTCCTGGTGCCAATTCATAATGTTCTATAAAAAAATAAACTCCTACGTAGGATATAAAAAAGCCTAATTAGGAGTTTGTAACTCCTACGTAGGACTTTTAAACTCCTACGTAGGACTTTGTAAGTCCTACGTAGGACTTTATAACTCCTACGTAGGACTTTGTTACTCCTACGTAGGAGTTTATAACTCCTACGTAGGAGATAAAAAAGCCTAATTAGGAGTTTATAACTCCTACGTAGGACTTTTAAACTCCTACGTAGGACTTTATAACTCCTACGTAGGACTTTATAAGTCCTACGTAGGACTTTATAACTCCTACGTAGGAGATAAAAAAGCCTAATTAGGAGTTTATAACTCCTACGTAGGACTTTTAAACTCCTACGTAGAACTTTATAACTCCTACGTAGGACTTAATAAGTCCTACGTAGGACTTTGTAACTCCTACGTAGGACTTTATAACTCCTACGTAGGAGATAAAAAAGCCTAATTAGGAGTTTAAAACTCCTACGTAGGACTTTTAAACTCCTACGTAGGACTTTATAACTCCTACGTAGGAGATTAAAAAGCCTAATTAGGACTTGATAACTCCTACGTAGGACTTTGTAACTCCTACGTAGGACTTTTAAACTTCTACGTAGGACTTTATAACTCCTACGTAGAATACATATCAAAGAACTGAAGGCACAGAGTTCGACGGACATGTATGCTAGGGTATAACTTAAGATAGCATATTATGTAGGAAAATAAATTATATGAGCCGCGCCATGACAAAACCAACATAGTGCATTTGCGACCAGCATGGATCCAGACCCCCGCGCATCGCGCAGTCTGATCAGGATTCCATGCTGTTCGCTTACAAACCCTATTACAAGTAAGAAACTGATAGCAAATGGCATGGGATCCTGATCAGACTGCGCGGATGCGCAGGCTGGTCTGGATCCATGCTGGTCGCAAACCCACTATGTTGGTTTTGTCATGGCGCGGCTCATATGTGTCAAGTTGTAATTGTGGCAAGCCACTTTAGTAAATACCTTTAATCTGTAGCCAGAGATGATTTTGTCATTCTCTGCATATATTAAACGATGATTCTGTATTATGTACGTTTAGTTATATTTATTATACACATGTACACAAAATGTATGGGTTAAACTTTGGAGTTATAAAGTCCTACGTAGGAGTTAAAAAGTCCTACGTAGGAGTTAAAAAGTCCTACGTAGGAGTTTAAAAGTCCTACGTAGGAGTTATAAACTCCTAATTAGGCTTTTTTATCTCCTACGTAGGGGAGTTATAGTGCCTACGTAGGAGTTATAAAGTCCTACGTTGAGTTATAAAGTCCTACGTAGGACTTTGTAAGTCCTACGTAGGAGTTATAAAGTCCTACGTAGGAGTTTAAAAGTCCTACGTAGGAGTTACAAACTCAAA